TTCTTGCTTTCAACTTTAATTTTAATAAATGATAATTGAATTTATTCTTCCGCATCGCCCGACGCAGCGAGGGAAGAAAACTAAAACTGATCAATACTTCTTCAGTTTGCGCGGGTTGAGGGGGCTGGAGATGGTTGCTTCGGTCGGTTGTTCCGAAGGGGTGGCCTTTCTTTCCCCATCAGAGCAATAACGACGCCATCAAATATTCGTCTCCATTAACATCGCGATTACGCGCCGACTCGGGTTAATTAAATGTGTGACTTCCTCGAGAGAGTGGTGGCGCTTTAATTACATTCTACTGTGCTCGTGGCTGCTCAAGACGTCTAGAACCCTAAAACCCCCGGAGGCCACCCATTCCCCCCCAAACGCTCCCGCCCCTCCCTCGCAGCTCCCCTAAAACATCCGGCATTTAGCGCAGAGATATGCTGGAACAAATAAAGCGCTCAACGAGATGAAATTCTACAGAATTTCAATGTGAAAGGCGAGGGCGAGATTTGCAAGATTTCCACTCCGCAATTCCGAGGGTGAGGATTCCTTAATAACAGAAGTAAGACGCTGAGGAGAAAGAATTGAGCCGGGATAAAGCTTGAAAAAAACAATACGCAAAAGTTAAAAAAAATGATATAACCGACTGGAATCCATTAAAAGGCTTTTCGCAATGTTGATTATAAATCACCCTTGTTTTATAAATATTTCAAACTTTCATTACTAAACATCCCTTGATAATATTTATTTCAATTATTCTAAATCATTGTTAATTATTATTTAAATTAAATTTATTATGTATTATATATAATATGATAAATTACAATGAAATTTAAACGAGTCTATGGAAGAATTATAAATATAACTAGAATAATTTAGATTGTTCTTTTTCAGTTTAATTATATTTAATTTGGAAATAATTGATTAAATTGTGTAATGGTGTAATAATTAATAGATAAAAAAACTATCATGCAATAAAATTGAGCATATATAAACGATACTAATAAACGTTAATAAACGCATCTTGAAACATTAAGTTGTTGTTTTCGTCATTATAATTTAACTATGCTGGTAGTAATTGTAGTTTGAGAATAATACTGAGAGTTAAAAAAAAAACTCTAAGAAAATGAAATAGTGCATAAATAAATATAGTCCTCATAAAAATATTAAGCTTTCATTAAAATACCGGTAATGAATATTTACTCTGATAATGCTTTGAAAAATCGTAATGAAATAAAATTTGTTTTGATAGTATACTAAAATATAACGATTAGCACTTAAGATTTTCAAAATATAATATTAAATTTCTATTTAAATATCAGTAATAAATATTGATTATACTAAACGTTCTGAAAAACTGAAAAGAAATTAAATTATATATGAATAAACAATGATAATAAATTATTCTAAGAATATACTAAAAATATTTAGATTTTATTGAAATACCGGTAATGAATATTGATTATAGTAATAGTTCTAAAAATGAGTAATAAAATTAAATTGTGCATACATAAACAATGATAGTAAAATTATGATTTGAGTGTATACTAAATATAACGATAACTCTTTAGTATCTTGAATATATTGGGGTTTTATTTAAATATGAGTAATTGAGGATAAATGTATAATGCTGTGATGAAAATTGAATATATCAAGGGTTCGAGAGAGAGAGAGAGAAAAAAAGCTACGATGAAATGAAATTGTGCATGTGTAAACGAGATCATAGTAAACTAAGTGTGGGAGCAATGAACGGAAACTCACCCCAAACCGCAACATTCAACCCTAGCTGCGGTTGCGATGTAAACTTGTGTAGCGCCGCGGTCGAGTTGCGGTCTGGGGGAGAAACAAGACACCATCGCGTAGACAAATCCGCCCTCTGGCGTTGTTAATAATCTAGAGCGCAAACATCCCACACCCATCCCAAAACCCCATACCACCCCCGCAACCACCATCTCGCTCGGTTCGCGCAAACGGAAGGGAGAAAGGGCGAAACATGCCGGCGAATGGAATCAGCTTGTTGCCCGAGATTGGTTTGTTTTAGCATACAGATGTATGTAATATGTATACGTCTGAATCGTTCGGGTCGGTTTCGCATGCGAAAGGAATGTATATTAGATCCTGCCATTCACGAGGCCGCTCACGTAAACCACCCACCCAATATTTCGGAAATAAAATTCAGCGAACAAAGAATGAGGGGAAAATGTACAAAAAAAAAACAGCAACAGAAATGAAATAGAAAAGAGAGAGAGTCGAAAGGAAAATAATAGCGCAGCTTAATTAAAACCACTTTGTGAAATTAATTCGAAAGAAATAAATTGTTCGGAGGGTGCGCGCAACCCCAACGTTGGTGTAATGTTGTAATCGAGATCCGGGGGTGTGATTGCACGTGTCGGTCGAGGAAAAGGGGGACATTACGATCTGTCACTCGACTAAAGCCGCTCCGGACTAATTTGATTTGGGTCCCTCTGTTTCTACTCCACTCCTACCATTCCCTATCCTTTCCAATCCCCGTCCACGTCCTAACTCACCCCCGTCTTTGACTCCATGGCTTCGACTCCCAGTTTTACGGCGACCCCCACGGTTCCATTAATCTAACGAGGTCATCGCAAACATCATGCCTCGGATTTACAACCGTTACACTTTCAACAGCTTAAATCCTTTTGATAGAAGATTATTCGCGACGCTTCTCCTTCGAAGACCTCCCATCCAATAAGAGATTTACCAGATGGAACCGCACCGCCGTTACGTTAGGCGGCCTCCCTTAAAGTCAATAACAGTTCGAGGGGCGCCCCAAGTGACGCGGTCAGCACAAATCCCATCCTCGATCTGCTCCATTTTCACCTCACGTCTCTACCCTTAATGCAAACAATCATTTTCTCCGACCGCCGTCCGTGAGAATTTATATTTATAAGAACCAAGCGTAAAACAGACACCGAAAAGAAGGGAAAAGAACGACTAACCAATATATATACTATATGAGAATAGAATAAGAAAAGAAAGAGAAAAAAACCCTAAATATATAGCAGGGTAATAAAACAGAGCATTAGCGTAAATTGCGCGAAGTAGCAAAACACAAAAACTTTTTCTCCTTCCCTTGGCGTTGTTGCTTCGTCTTCTCCTTTTACTTCTCTTATTTTTTCATCCTTTTTCTCTGCCCCTCTCGTTCTACGTTCTCCGAGGGGCAGAACGGAAAATAGAAAAGAAAAGTATTTCCGGCCGGGGCCGGGGGGCGGCTGCCGCCGCTAACTCGAGCTATAAATTCCATCGGTGGGATGGGGTAAAAAACAGAGCGGAAAGAGGGTGGACAAAGAAAACGACGAAGACAACAACAAAAAGCTCTCTTATTACTCATCGTTTAGACGCTGCCCCCGAGAGTAAATTAGTTTAAAAGTTCGGCTGTAAAATAAATTGAGGCTCGTAATTATTTTTACATTTGTCCCCGGCGGATCCACATAATTCTCAATTAAAACCGAGCGGCGGGGGGAGAAGGGATGACGGCATAACGCGCCATCGTTCATTTAATAGCTAAATAAAATAACGGAGCTACGACTAAATCAAAAATCAATTATGACAGGTTAATTTGCTCATTGAAGCTCATATTTGATTACTTATAAAACTTTCTGTAAATTAGATGAAGAATATTTAAATATGATCCAATGAATATAAAGGGATGAAAATTAGCCATACATACGAAGAGACACGTTTGCACCAAAAAAAATAAATAATTTCAAATTCTTCATATTTCTAAAGTTGAAGACAAAAATTTATCAAGATAAAGTCATCAACATTTATAGTTACTAAATGTACCATCAGAAGAGATTGAAAATTACTTCATTGTTATTCTTTGTTTTTTTTTTTTATATTCAACAACAATTTTCAAGAACATTAAGATAATTGGAGGATTGATTTTACCAAAATCGCTGCTTCTTTACTAAAATTGTGTTGGCTAATAAAACTCTAAATATTTTTCAATTATTTAATAAATCAAATAATTTGATCATTATAAAAACCAATAGTATAATAGCTTTCAAAAAATATTTCAATTAACATTAATTATAATACATTAATAACTAAGTAAAAAAAAAACATTTTTCCTTACTTACAAAATAATATCAAATTCAGTATGCGAAAACGTATAATGAAAAAATAAAATGCGCAGTTTTGAACATTCCAATATTTTCGATTACATAATTTTAACAAGTCGGTTCACAAATATATTTGTTTTTAATTGCAAAATACATAGTTATAAAAAATAATAAAATTGTAACAGTAAATATACAAATAAAAATAAAGGTGTTGATATTGTTATTGCAAATGTCAAAAGGGTGAAGAAGTTAAAATTGAACTGGTATCAATCAAATGAAGAGCATTTAAAGGAAGGATAACAAAGGGCGCATACGGCAGGTTCGTAGGGTTTTGAACTATAAAATATGGAATATAATGGGAAGTGGAGTGCTCCGACGTATCCACTCCAATCATGAAACAGACATAACAATAAAATACAATGTAATACAAATATTATACGACGGTAGGAGTGCGAGTCGGAGGGAGACAGAGTGAGCAATTTAGAGTCAGTGAGTGAGTGAGTGAGTGAAAGGGCAAAAGGGCGTCGCGGCGCGCTTTTATTTGAAGAGAGTTGAACGCGTTAAATGTAAATAAAAACGAAAATTTTAAAATATTTCGCACCCCGTTTTCGGCGCGCTTTATCGCCCCCACAAACAGAGCACACACATATACGTTATTAAATTTTATGCGTCATTTAAATATAATACATTTAACGCCGAAACAATATAATAATAAAACGAAATTAGAGGCGCCAAAGCGTAACGAAACGAAAAAAAAAAATTAAACGAAACAAAAAATAATAAAATTAAAACAAATATATGAAAACAAAAGGGCGCAAAACGCACGATGAAATGAAACATCAAATGAATGGGAATCGATTCGCCGAGGGGTTGATGTTTGTTATTTTCAAAGTGCAATGTAATCAAATTACGTATTCAATGGATACTCACGTGACGCTCTTCGGCAGAGTTGATACCTGCAGCATCCATGGTAACGGCATCCAACGGGTAGACAACATCGGCCAATCAGGGGTAGGGCAACATGGAACAATCGAGACGAAAACAATTGAGATAAAATGTACAAAACGTGTCGCCCCGTTTTTACGGTGCTGCTGCATCTGCCGCTACGGCTTGTCGGATCTATGCTTTTGTGATTCGCGCAAAAATTACGTGACATGGAAAATGCATGTGCAACACATACATTTCGCTGCGGGGGCGGCATGTTCGATGCTTTTTACCCTTCTATTTTTTTTTATTTTTATTCACTTTTTTATGTTGTTGGGTATTTTGCTTTTGTTTCAGAGGGTGATTCCATCCGCCGACGCGCGCGGCAATAATTGGAGAGTTAAATTTTGTAGGTGCAAAAACAGAAGACTGGATACCACCGCCGCCAACCCCCCTCCCGCAACGCGAAGTTAACAAATTAATTAGCAGTTGCGAAGTCTCAATTACGGTTCCCTGGATTCAGCAGCGGCGGATACAACGAAATAAGTGTTCGTCTGCGAGCGCCCCCTTTCCGGCGGGGCGGCGGCGTCGTCGAGGGGTTTCAACCCGCCTCCGTGATTATTCTTCGAGTGCAACCGAGGTGGAAAGCGAAACCCCATTCCAAGAGGGAGAGAGCATCTCCTCGTCGGCATGACAACGCAGATCTCTTCACGGATCCCTGAATATATACCGCACCGATTAGGGCGCGTTCGACCTCGTTAAAAAGATATAATATACAAAACTATCATTGTTTCCCCCTTGCGGGGGTGTACAGAAATGATGGCTAACAAAAAAAATAAGTATATACATATCTTTCTCTCTCTCCATATATACATACATATATAACCGTTGAAATGTATAAATCTGCAACGCCCCACGGAGATGGAAAGAGTCATTCAATTCCAAGCATCCCCTGACGCTTCTCCGAGTCGGGCACAAAAAAGTATATATATAGATATATCTTGGCGAGTGCGGCTGTATATCTATATCTATATATACAGGGAGAATCCTCGTTTCGCTCCATTCCACACCACTTGAGGCTCCCGCACAAAGAAGGACCCGGGGAAAGAAGAAACCCAGTCGAGTGTTGTGTAATAGGGGTGCGAAGGGGGCGCCTAACTACCGTTCACAAACGGCGCGCTTTTCAATGCAAATAAATTACTTTCATGTGAACGTATGGCGGATGACTTATCAGCTTCTTTGATCTTTATGCAGGGAGGAAGAAAAGGGTACCCCTTTAATATGTAAATTAAGTGGGTAGAATTATTATCTCCGCAAAACCCCCAAAAGCGGCGCTCGGGAATTAAGCAAAAAAAAATAAAAGAGGAAGCACCGTTCAGGTTTTGAAGGGTTGGCAATGCGATATCACCGTTTCCTATAACAATTCAATAGAGAATTTTATCGATCATCCCCTTGCTACCCGTTAAATATGATTTTATCATGCGGATCAAATCCGGGTTTCGCGCTTGGTCGCACTCGGAAAATTGCTACTGCAGTCCGAACTGTGGGGGCAATTTGTATTCCACCCTATGTGCGTGTCTCTACGTCTGCTTTTGCTTTCTTTTGGATCATCCTCACCCCTCATTCTCCACCTTACATCAACGGCTGTGTGTGACGGATAGTGGAACATGTTATCACATTCGTCTCGAGCGCTCTCTGAAGCGGCACTCGGAGGGTGAGAGTACTCAGCGAGTGACGCCTCACGGCGCCGCCGCCGCTACCTCCTCCTCTTCTTCATCCTCTTCCACATCCAACCACTTCTTTTTCAATTCATATGCATTTTCACACCCTCCTCTATTCACGCCGGGTTTTTAATGATCTCTGTCGAGTTTACTAGGCTCGAGATATATAGCAACAAAAAAACAACCAGCACACAATCCCCTTTTCCCCCTGAACACATACTTTTTGCACCCTTGTAATGATTTTTCGAGCTTGAGTATCTTCTTTTTGCATTTATAAAAAGCTACTCACAATGCGATACTTTCCAAGTAACCTGTACACGTACTTCTGAGCTTGATACTATCACTGACATAATAAATATTTGACATGTAAACCAACATTTACATTTTTAATAGCAAAAATGTACATGATAACTTTTAAAGAAAAGAAATTGAGGTAGTTGTCTTGGCTAGATTAATTCATCGTAATTGTCAGATTTTAAGAGATAAAATATTATTGCTCGTTTAATACCATAAACTTTTCTGGATCTCATTAAAGTGTAAGCGCGCAATGAAAGCGATGTTTTACGGCGTCGTTACATTGCCACCAGCGGCGGCGCCCTAATTAGATACCATCGAAAGACCTTTTCGCGGGAGTCTGTTGAAATTCTATCGATCATGTGATACTAACCGCTGTTCGATTTCACGTCGTCTGGGCGATGAAGCTCCGGCTTCGCCAACATGGATAAAGGATGTTGTCCTGGAGCCGCCAAAGCCCCGGATAATCCGAGCAAACTGGCTGCAGAACTAGGCGGTGCTCCCGCCAAACCAGGATGTGGCATCATCGGCAGGGGTGGCGCCGCGTGGGCGGGTAATTGCTGGGCATGCATCTGCTGCAGCAATCTGGGCAGGTCGGGCCTTTGTTGCTGAAAGAAGAAAAAAAAACAATAAAATAACGGTCAAAGATAGATAGAGAAAGAGAATAAGGAGACGCCGAAAAGCTGCTCCATGGATATTTCCCCGAAGCATCAAACACACACATATATAGATATATACTAGACGTGACATTCAAGTGGGGATCAGAAATCGGCTTATCTGCTCGCTAGACTTTGCGGGTGACTGCGTCGGAAATCTCCCGGATAAAGTGGTTAAAGTCAAGTAAGAAGATTTAAACCTCGATGGAAAGGGATGATCGATAAGGAAGCGGATAGGGTAAAGAAAAGGAAATGAAAAGAGTAGATCGGAGCAAGAAAGCGTGGAGTGAGCATCAAAATGGATTCGTTTCTATATTAAAATTTCAATTCGCAAAACAATAACGCTGAGGGTGAGGGAAAGAGAGCAATTCATCAATAATATAAGAAGAAAGGAGGGAAGTGAAAAAAGGGTATATATATAGAGGGAAAAGGAAGGTGGAGAGGAAATCGTTGGGAATAGAAAAGACCTTATGTAAAGTAGCGCGAGGTAAGTGAAGCAAGCTCTCGCCTTTTTATATAAGGCGGCCCCGTTGTATGAATAACAAAAGGATTCCTCCCTTGGGGGGCCTCGAGGAATCCGCTTTTCTCCCGGTGTGCACAACGAATTTCACCAAACCCCCCGAGCGGAGGCGAATGTTTACTTGGAAATATGTATAAGATGAATTCGGCGAAAACAATCGCAATCGTATAAATAAAAGACAAAATGAAATTAAGTTATATATGTCTTGAAAATACTAGAATTTTTGATATAAAATCGTAAATCCTCAATTTTATAATAAATAACATATTTACTAATACAAAATTATACGACATAAAATCTATCAAAGTTATTTTTCATGTGACCCATTTGTATCAATTTCCTAATTAATATTAAAATTTAATTCTTCATTTCAAGAACCAATTAAAAATAATTATAATTGATTTATTTCCAGTGTTTGCTATATGACTTAATTGAATAAACCAAATTCTGATCATGAAGTGTAATATTGCTATCAGGATTGAGCGAGTATAAAATAACAATTATTTATTCATGCTATAACGTAACATTATTAACGTTGGCGAAGGGGTGGAGGGTTGCAACAGAAAAAATCGCGCTGAGCGTTTTTCAGTTAATTAAACAGGCAGCTCGAGCGCTGGAAAAATGTAATTATAATGAAATCCATCAGCTCCGGTCGGAGCATGGGGGGCGCGGCTGGTCGGAAATGGGGATGAGAGATGAGGAGGGTGGCGGTAGCAGCGGCATCGGAGGGAAAGAGCGCCAAAGAAATCAATTTGCAAGCTCTCGGCAATGTGAATTTTAAATAATGGCTGCCCCAGTGTGCCAGAGAAGTCGAGTGCATTCGGCCAGAAGAAAACCCCAAGCAAGTATCTGGCTGAACATATTTCTCCCCCGATAAAAATATAACTTCTTGTCACGTGTCTCGGATCCATTCTGCTCAATTTAAAGTTGAAGTTGTGTTTACACTACATTTGCAGCCCCCTGAGTGCCGCTCGGCATCGCCAGCCAACCACCCCCTATACCTCCCTCATCCTCGACTGCCGGTTACCCCTTCACCCCAGTAACGAGATGGATTACGGCATTAGACGTCTACCAATCCAAGCATCCACCCCCGCGCCGAGATGTCGCTCTAATTACTGTTAAATAATTAATGTTCGCAGCGCGCAAGTAACACCGCTAATTATAATACAAATCCGATGACTCTTCATTAATCGCCCGACCCCTCTGTATATTCCGTATGCCCCCTGAATTGGGGAGCAGCGGTGTTTATTTATTAATGCCGGATCATAATTCCATTTCAATTACGCGTGAATAATGCATGCATCGGCGCAGGAATCACAAAGGACGAAAGTTTGATGATGATGGGGTACGGAAAATGGCGAGGAAAAAAATCGAGCCGGATGTGAACAGGGTGCAAAAAAATAAATAAAAGCTCGTGCTCGCACACACACACCCATACACGAACGAAGAATTAAATTAAAATGGAACTGTTGGTCCGGCTAGTTGGTCACACAAAGGGCTCACTTGATAATACCGCGTTAAAAAGCGGGACCAACGGGACTATCATAATCCAATTAGCATTCAATGTAACTGACGCACAGACGGCAGCAGCGAACTTTTTAAATTAAAAGTCCTCCGGCCGTTCGACGGAGACCAACCGACTGTATTAATAGGATTGTTGTTCCATGTTTGAATGGGTATTGATTTGCATACACTAAAAAACAATCCACGTCCCACCCCGTGCGTAATAATTAGTTTGGGGGTTGCACGACCAAAAAACACCTAAATCAGAAACTCCATTCCCATGTTTTATTCCAGGACTAAACAACATTATACAGTCCTGAATTTTGATTGTTTTAAACTAATTTAACAAACTGAAGATTAGTTGCAAAAATAAATTTTATGGTTATATAATTTTATAATAAGTATTTAGCCTGTTAATAACTGACTAGATTTTTTAAATTTTCCATCTAAAAATAATTAATTGAATGTTCAAATCTAATAAATTGGGAAATAACATTTTAAAATATATATAATGCTACCGATGATGTTGATGATGCTGATATTCCGTCGACAAGACATGATGCAATTATGTAAACGTCTGGCTGCAGCGGAGCAGACCGCCGTTATCGATGATGACAACCCGAGAGACATGTCCTGTCTCCTACGTTATTCGACCTCTCGCCTCCTTACATAAGATAGCAGGAGATATGCTTATGCTCGGAGCGCGAAGGAAGTGGGACGGAGGAGAAAGAAGGATCGAATCGAAGAGAAGCCGCACATCTTTATTTGCTACGCGGATGCCATCTCAAGCGAACGCTTCACTTTGCTACCTCATCTCCCCCGGGGGGATGCATTGATATTCAGAGGAGATCCTCTATATCAGGTTTGTAGACTTTTTGTTCCGTCGGATTACGTTGCTCCGTGTTTCATCGCTTTTCCACCATATATATATATATATACAGCGTATACACATACAGACAAGGAAAAACCCGAAGATGTATTGCGGCTGCTCTAAAGATTGCATTACCTCAAGGAAAAACCATCCCCCCGGAAACCGGTAACGGATGGAGGGTGAAGTAGCGAAACATCCCGAGGGATAAAAACATCACGGTTGATCATAATAATTTTACGAGCGCGAACAACATTGTAATCATTCAATATTAAAACAAACAAAAAAAATAATGCCCCGGTAACACTGGGTGCACGCCAATATAAACTATACGCGCTGATAAAATGCCAATAAAGAGGCGCGCGCTGTAAAACCTGCCACTTTTATGATCCCTACCCTCCTCGGGCCGCCGTTCGGCCGTTAGCCGACACTTGAAACGTTATATAAGTCTCTTACGCGATAAACTTACGAAAGCCATAAAATATTAATACACCTTCTTCTTTTTTCTTTATTCCTTCTTCCCTTCGCTTCTCGCCACTTCGCCACCCTCGACAATCTCTAAAAGCCTCTCACCTAATCAACATTCCAATCACCCACACACTTTATCGAGCGAATGCCTTTCATTATAAAAAAAACATAGAAGGAGAGTGAGAGAGAAAGAGCAAATTTAAAACCCTTAATTTCTTTCCGCGCGAATTATTTTCGCCGCAGAGGAATTCTTTTATGGAGGGGTTGGGGAGGTAAGGAAATAGAGTGGGTTAATCAAACCAAAGTTGCTCCACAAATATTTTACAATGCCTGTCCAATTTTCTTGTCCAATCTCCGGAGTCGGACGGGTAAAACAATTTGGAACGTGCGGCCTGAATACGAAATCAGAGCTTACCGAGAACACGACGCTGCTTGTGTGTGTGTATGTGTGTGTGTTTCAGGGTGGTTCGAAAGATAGCGAACGAGAGATAGGGTGGATGGAAAACGAGGGTAGGTTGAAAGGGGCGAAGCACCCCCCCCCCCGCAATGCTCACATCCACTTACTTTACAGCACCGTTGCGGTTCTCCCCCTTCGCCAACGATCCACTTCTTTTCTTATTCTTCTCCCATTTTATCATAGGGTCTTGCAAACGTGTATGAAATATTTATATTTGTATTTCCGCTCTGGATGCTTTCGCCAGAGAGAAACATCAAATCGCTTTCCCGAGGAAATGTTATAAAAATATTACAAATACCTCAGACGGCGCGGCGCGCACCTTCGACTCCTTCCAACCCCTCCAACCCCATTTCCCCCGCTTGCTCTTATTAAATTTTAATCCCCCCGCGCGTCTCCCCCCACCAACTTTTCATTTCTTCCGCTTTCCCATCATATATTTTTTTAATATACATTTTTTAGGGGCCAGGGAGATAGCGAAAGAGAAAGAGGAAACGGAACGTTGGGGGCCATTAAATGTGGAGGCGTCGGAGCGGAAGTTGAATCTCCGGTTTTGAGCCCTCGGGGATTGCCACTTTGCGATGGAGGACGGCACGTGGACTCCTCTCTTTTTATCTCACAACCCCTCAGTACTACTTCCTTTTATGTATTCCTCCTTTTTTATTATTATTATTTTTATTAAAGGATACCGTTAATGATTCGCGCCCGGAGCATCATTATCACTCCTTTCTGTTTAATTTAATAACCCCAGGACCGACGAAATACACCGGCGTTTCCTTTGTCGCACAACGAAGGTTATGAAACTCCTTGCCGTCTGTTTACCGTATAAATAAGTGTCCGACGATGAGTGATGTGCTAAACAGGCATTTTAGCGCCTCCGAGCAATGCAAATAGCGTTTACCGAGTCGCCCGACGACGTGAAACCTACTATGAGCTCAACAAATTAAGACAATTAGCGGTTGAGCTTCAGAACATTTACCTTGCCTGTGTAAATTGTAATCTCCGATAATATACACCGTGCGGATGGCTGTGATCCGAATCGATGGGACGCGGCGCGATAAAGTCGATTCCTTCGGAAGTTCAGAAGGGGGGAGGGGGTGTCGAACGGAAACGCTCCAGGGTCTCCGAGGGGCTTAAAGGGGAACAACCGACGCTTACGAGGAATTGCCGAAAATTTGATGGCAACTTAACGCCACCCTGTATATAATCGCGTCCTGTTTACACACGAGTTCTGGAAAATGTAGGTTGTCTGTATGGAAATGCAAACATATACAAGTAGTAAAGTCTAAGTACAAACAAACATTGCTTACTTGAAATGTGTTTTCTATTTACCATTGTGTTTCTTCCTCCTCTACAATTTCTCTACTCTTCTCTCTTTTTTTTATTCTTTTATTTCTATTTTTATTGCCAGTTTATATTTCTCATTCTGGAAACAATTGGATGTGCAAACATAGTATGTGTGTGTGTTTTCGCTTCGTCAAGTCAAATAGCGTTCCGTGTATTTAACTGCCACTCACTCAAATTAACGAATTTCATAATTAAAAGCGCACTTACCCCAATTATGGCATTCAGTTCTGTCATGGTAACTTGTTTCGCCCTCTCCACGGCGCTCGCAACCTGCTGCTGATGGTCCTGCGAGAGGAAAGGAAGGATTTGTGCGATTATAGCATTCAGTCTCTTCGCAATCTCAGTCTGCAAACAAAACAAAATATATATATTAAAAAATAAATAAATAAATAATACAGGAAATCATCAGTACACAAAATAAACATGAACGTTTCAAATTCCGATATTTTCTCTCATCGTTCTTTACTCTTCTGTTATTTTTGTTGGCTCGGCCCCTTGTTTCTGTATGACGGCAGCTCTGCTGACGAGAGTTTACTCAGCTCCGTGCAAACATGGTGTGCTCTCTGTTTGTTTTTCCAGTTCACTGCAATTCTGACTTTGCGTTTCAGTATTTTACTTAACAGAGCTAATTTCATAATATGCAGTTTATATTTATATAGGGAATATAATAATTGAGGGCCATTGGAATGCGATGATCGGCACAACATTGTTGAGACGCGAAAATAATATAAACATCGTTACTTGCCACACGAAGGCCAATTACATTTCTAATAATTAATCCAAACTACTCCTGACATCAGACAAAGATGTATTCAAAGAACTCTATTATATAAATAAAAAAGTAATCCAGTAACTAATTAACATACATTTATTTAAATAGTTGATACACATGAGACATTTTTATGTCATAGCATAATGTGAATACCGCAATCGTATTTGACCCATTTTTATTTCAATTCCGTTGGAAACGTTATGTATATAACGATGTAAATGAATAATTGATTCAAAACTAATTAAATAATTAAGATGTTTGCATGGTGGGTTGTCGGTTTGGTAATAGTCCTTTTTGTAAATAAATGGACGTGTCAGGCGAGGGATTGTAATTGTAATGTTATCACAAGTTCGCGTCAAAGTACCAGGACTACATATGTTAATGTTAATGTGACCGCAGGCCACATCCAGGCGGCGGTGGACCGCGGCGTGACGTCACTGTGTCGCGGTCCACCGCCGAGACCGCAGCCGCCCCCTTTCCCTTGCACCAACCATGCACATACCCAAATGCATCCATCATTTATAAACACGCCAACATCCGTGCCAACCCCCAGCACTACGTTTCATTGATTGAGGCCACCCCTAGGTCACTTTTTTCTTCTTTCTCCACCAAATCAACCCCCGACCGAAACTTCCTATTTCCTGTTCCTCTTTTTGTATAGCATTCACGACATGCACACTGTATAAATCCGAGGAGAGGAGGTTCCGGATAAGAAATACGATGGAAGGAGTGAGCCGGGAGGATGAGAAGGCGAAAAGAAAGAGGCGGCGGCGGTGACGGTGAGGAGAAGCAGGGGAAAAGGAAATCTTGATATGTTTGTCAGGTTTTATCGGATCAAGAGGGTTGATGCTGCTGCAGGGTAAAACCCACCCTCGAAAGGGGCCCTACCGGCAGAGAGGATTTGGAAGACTACACTATGACCCTCTCGCCCTGTACACACATGCACATCCATCCACCCTACATGTATATGTACATATATATGTAAGTGTGAGAGTGTCGACGCGACCAGATAAGAAATATGTGAAAAGTACACTTCACATCAAAAGTGGCAACTTACATAATATCCTCATACGCAACACACGCCGCCCTTGGTTCGATCCAATCGATACGCTGATATTTTGCAATTCAATTGCAAATTCCTTTTTCTGTATTTGTTCTTTAAAGCGTTATTAATGGAAAAGCCGAGTTTATTCAATCAACGCTACTTTTAATACGTTCATTATGAAAAATACGTTAGCTCTTTTTAATTAATCAATTAATTAAAACTCGCCGGCTAAAAACGGTAAATAATTATTTTTTCAACCCTCCGTTTCGCGTGGTTCTATTATAAAGGCGCGTTTATTTGCTCTGACTGCAATAAATAAAAATATTTACGCTTCCCTTAACAAAATATATATGTTTTATTTATATATATATTTAAACAACTGCAGCACATTTTAAAATTAATATTAATGAATACTTCTGGTATTTCATTTTGTAATTTGTTCAATGTTCGTATTTTATGAAACAGTATTTTTGATGTGTGCAACAATTATGTAAATAAATACATTTCATGTATTTTAAAGAAAAATATTTTATTTTCATGTTCTAAATCGATTGAATAAATAATTGTGTTTAAAACTGTGTAACTGAAAATAAATGTAAATCGTACAAGAAACGTCGAGAAGCACTGAAATGGTTACAAGAGTTGGATGTAACGCAATTATATTATATTCGAGAGCCATGAAAGCAGAAGGCTTTATTTGATTACGTCAACCTTATTACAGATGTAATATTATTTACTTTTATCATTTGTGCTTAATGTTGTGGTTTGCTGCGACCCCTTTTTTAGGGGTTGCTCATGAAAATATGCCCGTTGTGTAATAAAACTTTTGTCGCATAAAAGGTGTGTCAAATCTAGTTTTCAATTACACGTAGGGGTAGATTATCTGATACGTGCGTATACAATGAAGCCCATTAAATACTTCCAGAGGGTGACGGCAAGTTTCGAGAAGGGGGTTGAAAAATGCTTCATTACCGAATGGTGGAAAAGGGGTGCGAGATTCGAAAAAAAAATCAACGGCTGAAGGAAAAGGAAAACAGAATGCATATACATATATTTTATACGGTACACCGTTGATTGGTGGTGATTTGTGTGGAACGTGTTATTGGATTTGATTTTTTTTTGTCGGTTCGTCGTTACGGCGTGGCAAGGGTGTGCAGGGTGGAGAGGGGTTTGTATCATCGGAATGAATTGGATCGGGAGCAATCTGAAAAGTGCGTGCACGTGTCATTTCGAGAGGGGTTGTTTCCCCCGGCTCGCATGTTTTATTGCCGGAGGGGATCGACGGCGGTGGCGGCGGCGACCGACTAAAAAAATTGTCAGCGAGCGAAGGGCGAGTATGGGGGAGGGACGAGGAGGGTTCGCCGGAGGGATGTTTGGAATGCATTTTATATGCCTGACTGGCCATTTTTTTACGCTTCCCCCGGTGGCGAGATGAGATTTTTTGACCGGTGCCAACATAACCGCATTTTGAAAAGCCATATACTTCGCTGAAGGATATTTACCATGTGTTTATACGCCATAAAAAAATAACATATACGTGGTAGACTGACCATTCCAAACTACAGTACAATCTCATCAGTATCCTATATATATATTATATCAAACACAATTATTTACGATTAAGTTAAATCTGATGTAAATTCAAACATGGTACTGTGCGTACTACTAGTTATTTATAGGCAAAATTAAGCAACTTTTATAAGATTTGTATATTTTATATCTTTTGTAATTTGTATTTACTTCATAAGTATGAAATATGTGTATGGTTTACACGAATTTCATTGATCAACTACAGTTACGTAATATGAAACATTGTACAATATGTATTGTTCAGGAACATATTTTCAGCTGAAGTAACAACTTGATGCGGTTTTTTATTTCTGTTTTTTTAGGGTGGCAAAGAATTGGATTTTCCAGGTCAGATGTTAAGTAAACAAGTCTGTTTCGTAGCATTAAGTGCGCTACAATACACCTCGATAATGCGATAATCAAGCGGCCGCGGCAACCCCCCGATGATAATGGTCCTGGGACGTGGCCGGCGTTCGGAATCAGTGGAGGGAGGTTTTTGGTATTCCGGACGCGGTGGAAGCGAATCGCGCCGGGCGCCCGCCCTGAATACATCGTGAACACGATACAGGGGAATAAAATTATACGCGACGTCCTTCTGCAAATCCAATTCACAAAAGGGTGGCGGCTTCCAGAAGGGTGGGCACCGGTGAGGGGGATGGGTGCCTGAGGGGTTTATTGATAAATATTCATATTTCCCCATTGATGGGTCACGTTTTTGCGATAAGCTGTTTGTTGGTGTGCGTGCGTGCGTGTGTGTGTACAGGAGGGGCGCAAAACACATGTGGGGGGAGGGTTGTTTTTTTGGTCCCCTTCGATTCTTCTCCCCCATGCGATATTTATTTGGATGTGGTTAATAAAAGCCCTGTCGGTAGTAATGCCCTCGCGCATATACAAATTGCATGTGTTTTAGCGGACATACGCCGTTTATTGAGCCATTTTACATGTGATATTTGCTTTTTACGGTATCGCCTCGTGCGTTATACGGTCTACCCTATTCCATCGAGGACCGTGACAGATGGGATGCGACCGTTTATTGGTTTTATTGTATCGAAGTTTTATTTATTTATTTACGCCCACTGATTATTTCCCATTTTAATCCCCCCAAAAACACCTCTGTTTTGTACATTATTTTAACTGCCTGCAATCATGTTAAATAACAAAATTACTACACATAAACCGTTAATATTTTAATTAACTATTCTTAATAAGGCTTATCATTATATCAAACTTAAGAAATAACATTACATTTTTATCAAACACTTATTCTTAATAATACTTTATCCTTGTGACTGACTCATCTTGGATATCTTGCATTATCTTACACAAGTGTATCAGACTGTACTTACATATATATATATACATTTAATTTCATTCAAGAGATGGAGCTTGAAAGAAATTTAGCTTACGTGCTTCATTTTCAATTTTATAGATTTGAAAAGATAAAATAAATTGTAACACATTTCAAACATTATGAGCCATAATTTTGCATGAAATATTTGAACTCTTACTAAACAAAATATTTTTTGATTTTTTTTATCAATTTTTAATATTGTTTAAATTAGTTTACACATGAATACATTCATATTATATCCATATCTATATCCATAGTAGCTGTCAAAAACTGTGAATCTTCATATAAAAACTATATAAAATAGCGACTATTCAGAGTTGAAAAGTTACGAGAAGAGAAATGCCTTGAAAGATATATGTGATAATACTGCTGGCCCGAATTGAGGATGATAGGTTAAGGATGTACGGTGGAATAAATGGTCTATACGTACACTTTTATATGGTATCCCCGAGGTTATAAATTAAGAATTGAGCGATGTTTGCGATTCCTTTGAAAACATAAAACAGCAACTGTACTTATGCGCGCTCCTTTTTTGCTTTTCTTCTTCCCCCTATTTTTCCAGTTTTCTTCGAAAATATTTTCCAAACATCAAACGCGCGTGGAAGCCA